GCCTAAAAAGTCCTTCCTTACTTGTAAACCCTAAATTTTCTTCAAGAACTGTTTTCAATTTTTATTTGAGTTTTTTATGATGGGCGGTAGGAATGGAGCATTTTCCCCCCAGATAATGAGCCATTTTTAATGCCATTTATTAATGTATGTATGTTTTACATTTTTCCTCTTAAAAGAAGCTTTGAGAGCTGTTGAAGAAGCCTGATGGCGCCGAGTTAGGCCTCTCGAGGGGCTGGGTGGTGAAGACCATGGAGAGATGTTCGGGGGCACCAGTTCCTCCTTGTGCCAGAGGCTGGTGGTGGCCGGTCACAGTGAGCAGGGCCAGCCAGAGGGGACGGGCAAGTGTGCTGTTGTCCCTCCGTGGCATGCTGGGAGACAGCGTGGTGGGGGGACAGGGAGGACGGAACGTGCTGACAAGGAGTGGGTAGGAAGGATGGAGCCCTGGTGAGCCTCGAATGGAGGTAGGGAGAGGCCAGGAAGTGTCGGAAGGAGAGGGAGGCTGAGGGGAGGAAGCAGAGTCCCTGAGGCCAGGCGGTGGGAGCTCAACTGAAGACACCAGGTTGGTGGTGGGTTTTCCTTGTGTCGCAGGACCTGCCAGTCTGCTGCTCCTCCAAGGCCTCAGTGGCTGTGGCATGAAACATCCTGCGGGGCTCGGAGGGTGGGCACTGTGTCCCTCACGTTTGGGCCATTTTTCAGGTGGAGCCTTTTGCCAGCTTGACCGAGGCCGTGCGGAGCTCAGTTCCCCGACTGCTCATCAACTGGGACTTGGTGGGGCCCTTGGCTTGGCATCCTCGCAGCAGGGACGTGGCCCAGCTGGGGGACGTGGTTCAGAGCGTGGAAAGGCTAGTGGAGCTTCTGGGCTGGACAGAAGAGATGCAGGACCTTGTCCAGCGGGAAACTGGGAAGGTACAGACTGCTGAGCAGGGCCATTGAAGGGGCTGCCCTCCTCCCTGCTCTGGGGTGTGGTCCCCCGGTGTGGAGCCCTGTTGGCTAACACCGTAATAGCTGATGATGCTGTTAATCGTGCTCCAGGCACTACCTGGACCTGACTGGGCATTACATTCAATACCTTCATTTGGAGATGAAGAAACAGATGCTAACAGGGCCAGGAGGGACACAGTCCAGGCACTCGGGGCTGATGAGTCTGTAGTCTTGTCACAGTACAGGCGTTAGCTTCACCCTGAAATAGAGCAGCCAGTAGTGCCCCTCTGAGGCCTGGTAAATGATTCTGAGATATGGGTTACAGAACTTTGAGAACCTAAAGTTCTCTGCACCTGTGTGGGATGAAGGCCATCCCAGTGATGCTTTCAGGAAGTAATTGCTATGAAAGCCATCGATCTATTATAAACCACTGAGGAAAGCCAGAGAGCTTTGATGCTTTCTAAGAGATTCCAAACCGCCCGGTAAACAGGTGAGGTTACAGAAGATGCAGTTTCGCATGGGAATCGTGTAGCATGCGTTATTAAGGGTTTTCAATGGGAGGTAGCATGAAGCATTTAAAGTCCTATGTTATGATTACAGGCAGGTGTAACACTGTCCAAAGGGGATCTCACCAGTGTATTAGTCTGTTCTCATGCTGCTACTAAAGCCATACCTGAGACTGGGTGATTTATCAAGGAAAGAGGTTTAATGGACTCACAGTTCCATGTGGCTGGGGAGGCCTCAATCACGGTGGAAGGGAAAGGAGCAGCAGAGCCACGTCTTACGTGGCGACAGGCAAGAGGATGTGTGCAGGGAACGGCCCTTTATAAAACCATCAGGCCTTGTGAGACTTCCTACCACAAGAACAGCTGGGGAAAACCTGCCCCCATGAATCAGCTACTTCCGCTTGGCCCCGCCCTCGACTCGTGGGGATTATTACAATTCAAGGTGAGATTTGGGTGGGGCCACAGCCAAACCGTATCAACCAGAATGTTCATAACCGACGCTCTTCTTGTCTTCCAAGGCAGACATCAGGAAATCCTGATTCTTGTTCCTTGCCCACAGCTGTGCCTGCCACCTGGCTCAGGGCCATGGGGTCAGCACTCTCCTCACAGAGACCCCCAGCCTCCCGTCGCAGGCAGAGTTGTTACCCCTCGCAGTCACTTCCTTATGGAAGCAGGGGACCCAGCTAACGATGAGGCTGAAACGTTGAGAAGCGAGTGCCTCCTGGCCCGCTCACGAGGCAGCAGAGGTCTTCCATCAGCCTAGCAGGCTTTTTTGAGGGAGCCTTTTCCTGCCCCGACTTCCTTTTTTTTTTTTTTTTTTTTTTTTTGAGACAGTGTTTCGCTTTTGTTGCCCAGGCTGGAGTGCCATGGCACAATCTCGGCTCACTGCAACCTCTGCCTCCTGGATTCAAGTGATTCTCCTGCCTCAGCCTCCCGAATAGCTGGGATTACAGGCGGCCACCACCATGCCCGGCTAATTTTGGTATTTTTGGTAGAGATGGGGTTTCACCGTGTTAGTCAGGCTGGTCTCAAACTCCTGACCTCAGGTGATCCACTCGCCTCAGACTCGCAAAGTGCTGGGATTACAGGTGTGAGCCACCACACCCGGCCCAACTTCCTCTTTTCTTTTTTTTCTTTTTCTTTTTCTTTTTTTTTTGAGACGGAGTTCCGCTCTTGTTACCCAGGCTGGAGTGCAATGGCGCGATCTCGGCTCACCGCAACCTCCGCCTCCTGGGTTCAGGCAATTCTCCTGCCTCAGCCTCCTGAGTAGCTGGGATTACAGGCACGCGCCACCATGCCCAGCTAATTTTTTGTATTTTTAGTAGAGACGGGGTTTCACCATGTTGACCGGGATGGTCTCGATCTCTCAACCTCGTGATCCACCCGCCTCGGCCTCCCAAAGTGCTGGGATTACAGGCTTGAGCCACCGCGCCCGGCCTAACTTCCTATTTTCATAAAAAAGCAGATTGTAACCCAGGTAGCTCCTGTGGATTTTTGGAAGTGGCCCAACAGGATTTGAACTGTATAATTTCACAGAAATTTATGTAAAATGTATTATGATCTTGGGAGTTTTTAATTTACTACCCTAGGGGTTACTTTTCCAAATAGTGAATATTTTTAAGCACATGAGCATCAGTAAATATTGGTTTGGGTACTTAAATTCCCTTAGAATGAGGCTCTCCATTTAGCCACCCTGTGCTGTCCAGGCCGGTTGGGATCCTCTTAGCCCAGCACAACAGCAGCATTTGTAGAAAGCAGCTTGTTTTGTGAAATATTTTGCGTATCTGCAGCTAGATCTGTGTGAGCAGAGATCTGCTGGCTGCCTGGGTCTGTTAACACAACTGATAGCCCCGTCTTCTCTGTTCCAGCTTGATGGACCAGACAAATAGGATGGCGGCTGCCCCACACAAGAAATGCCGCCACAGGAGCCATCCACATCCCAATTCTGACGGGACCTCGTGCCTGAAGACAGCTTGGGCGGGTTTACACGTTTGGTCAAACCAGAGTATGTGAACCGAGTGGACATCTGAGGCTGCCACTGGCCTGTCTTCCCAGGCTGTGAGCTGTGCTGACTGGTGGGGCTGTCTCCGTCCAGGGGCACCCCGTCACACCTGCAGAGGAGTTGCCTGCCTGCCTGTTGGCTGTGTTTTAACGCTTCACTCTGCTGAAGCTCTTAATGGAAAAAGCCTTCTCCTGACAAGGACCCTCTTGAACTGAAACAGACTAGAATCCCAGCCTGGGTCTGCTTTCTCTGTGCCAAGTCCCTGTCTGAAGGGCAAGCTCAGCATCTGTTGGTTAGAAGGTCCAGACTTGGGCCGAGCAGCCTCCAGCCCTCTTCGCGTCCTGTGGTCTTGAGGCCCTGGTGCTGTATCTCCAGCCCGTTGGTCTCCTTTAGTAGGGCTGTTTTTAATTAGAGAAAACCTGTCCTTTATTTTCAGCATGAAATACATTTTGGTCTCCTCAAAGGGACTGCAGGTGTTGACATGAGTTGGAAAGGGAACCCGGGGTACACAGCATCCCCTCTGTTGGAACAGCCCGAGGATTGAAGGCACTTGTGTCTGGATTTATTGGAGATGGCCCAGCTTCTCCCTCTAAAGGTGGTCATGTTCTGTTGACTTTCCTTACTCATCATCTCCTCCAGAAACATCTGTTCCAGAATATTCTAGCACTTTCTATCTGGTCTCCTTGTTCCCACACTGTCCCCCCTCCCCTAGGGCCTCCTCTAGTGACATTGCTAGAGCTCATCTCTGAGACAGAGGAGGACTTACTCACTGAAAACCCGGGCAGAGCCCTGGCCACCTGCTGGGTTGTGACACAGGAGGTAGAACCCACTGAGCTCCTAGTTCTGCACAGGCTGCTTCTCCTGGGGCTGCACCGAGGCCCAGCTGATGGCTCCCCCCCCCCCCCCCACCGCTCTTACCCACATGCAGGCACATCCCCCTCCCTACCATCAGATCACCTGCGTTTCCCCAGACAAAAGCACTTCCTAGTCCTGAACATTGCCTCCCCTGGGCTGAGCTGACAGGAATAGATTTAATGACAAGTGACTCCCAGGAAGGGGGTTCTGTGACTTGGCTCCTCAATAAGAACAAGAGACAGAAGTGGTGACCTAGGAAAAGTGTTGAATTCTAAAAAGAATGAAATTAGTTTCTAACTCGTTAATATTCCTTTACCTGATTTTTTATTTTTTGAGTGTCTCTCTGTCGCTCAGGCTGGAGTGCAGTGTTGTGATCTCAGCTGACTGCAACTTTCACCACCTCCTGGGTTTAAGCAATTCTTGTGCCTCAGCCTCCTGGGTAGCTGTGATTAGAGGCGTGGGCCACTGTGCTTAGCACATGGGCTTAGCCATCAAGCTTAGTACTTTTTTTAGGTCATATCATTTTTTTTGCATTTTAGGTTTTGGGGTAACACTTAGTATTTTTAAGAGACGGGTTCCGCGATGTTGGCCAGGCTGGTCTTGAACTCCTGGCTTCAAGTGATCTGCCTGGTTCATCCTCCCAAAGTGCTGGGATTACAGGCATGGGCCACTGTGCCTGGCCCCTTTAACAGTTTACACATATATTCACACATACATTTTTGCTCAGACCTCTTTATTTCAGGATGTTTCTGTGTCTATGTGTGGTACATGGTATAAATCTCAAACTGTGGTCACACAAGGGGCTTTCTCCTTCTTGTAAGGGTAGTCTAAGCCAGTGGGAAGGATTGAGATTTAATTGCCAGAACTGGCGGGAACTTGGGCACTGTGGATACTACAGTGGGTAGCTCAACAAGGACCAAGGAGGACACCTTTTGAGGCCTCCAGCCCTGCGCCCAGTGAAGACAGGACAGAAGCCACAGGGCATACCTTGGAGTGCGTGTTCTGACATACTTGTACGTGAAGTTCTGACAGGTTCTTTCTCCCTGTGAAGTGCAGCACATTCCTCAATGCACCGGCTCTGGCCCGCATGCCAATCTCAGATGTGCCTGCTCTGTGCATGCCCACGCCCAACCCCTTGCCCTCCCATACACATGCTCTTCTGTATGCCCAGGTAGGCCCTGCCCTCAGGCAGCAGCCTCTGCACACGTTCCTCTTGGCGCAGACAAAAGAAAGTACTTTGCCTGCAGAAATCAAGCTGAGCCCTGTGTTCTTGCACAAGACCACTGCAGTCCAGAGATAAGAAACTGAACCGCGGGCAAATCATGAACAGCACCTGGGGAGTAAAGAGAAAGGGTTTCCAAGATGGAGAGAGGCGTGGGCCCAGAGGGATGTGGCTTCTCCCAGGTTACAGCCCCAAGGAAATCTCTGGAAGCAGCACCCGTTCTGATGGGGGAGTAGAAGAGCTGCCATCCTCAGTCAGGGTCTGAGTCAGGGTCCGAGGAGAGCTGCTCCTCCATAGTCTCGCACATGGCATCCTGCAGGGATGTAAGATGACCCCGGGGACTCATCCCCATTGGCTGGATGACTCTGTTCCTGTAGGGGAAAGGTGCAGTGGGGCTGGGGAAGGGGCCCAGTTGGCCAGGCAGGGGTCCTCCTCACCCCTGGCTGCTACCTTCCTCTCCACCAAGTAGGCTGCCCCCATTTACTGGGGAAGCCTGGTTGGACCTTCTGTTAACTGGGCCCAAATCCTAACTGCTACCTCATGGCTTTAAGCAGCTTCTTAATTGAGACATCAAAATTGTCCTTCAACAGTCTTGAATTTGGACATTGGACCATCTCCAATAAGTCCAGGAACATTAGAGAGTCTCTTAAGTTCTCTGGGCCTCAGTTATCATCTGTAAAATGGGCACAATACTGACCTCAATATGCCAACCCCCTGGGGGATCCTCCAGGGCAAGTGATTTCAAACCTAAGTAATGCAGCCTTGCTGGGATCCTAAGCTCTCCTCTGACCCTACCTCCTGGGGATCACAAGCCAGGATGTGGGTCAGCTCTCCCTTCTCCCAGCTGCAGGCTCCCCACACCTCCTTCTCATGCCACACACCTGGAGAGCCTGTCAAACATGGTCACCAGCTTCATGGCCTCATGCTCCTTCTGCTCCTCTGTCATGCCCTCCATAGGGTTAGGCGGCTTCTCCTCCACCCTCCCGGTCACTGGGTTTATGCTGTTTCCCATGGGATAGAGTGTAGGGAATGCATTAGTGACTCTCCCGGACAGGAGGCAAGACACGTTTTCCCACTGGGGCGAGAGGGGGCAGGACAAGGCACCTGCAGGAAGAGGCCTCCTTCCAGGGGCAGCACAGTTAACCGGCTCCTGCCACCTGCCACCTTCTGGTATCCCAGATGGCACTTAGGGACAGGAGCCTGACTCTGGAAGGTCTTGCCCATGTGTCATCCTGTCCCACTCACCCTACAGGGGTCCACGTGGCTGTGGCAACAGGGACTAGGGGCTTGTGAGTGGAGCCCCGAGCGTGTGCTGGGGGCACATACCTGGCCTTCGCTTCCTTGTACTCATCGGTGTCTGTGTCCTCATCCTCCGAGTACTGGCCCTCGGGCCGGCCTCCCGCCATGAGGCCCCTGGCAGCCAGAAGACCAGCGGCATTCCCATAGCCCGTGTACTTGATGAATCGGGGCACTGGGGAGCAAGGCAGAGGTCAGTGCCAGCCCGGCTGGGGCGGGCTGGGGCAGGCTGGGGCCCGGGCCGCCGTGACTCACCACTCTCAGAGCACAGCACAAACAAGAACTCGGCCGCCACCCTTTTCACATCTGTGTCCAGGTGCGTCATGAGGCGGACAAGCTTGTTCCGCAGCATCTCCCCAACCTCGGGCCGCGTCCTCACGTCCCGCAGAGGGGGCAGCACCTGGGGAGGCGGCCGTCCCTCAGCTTGGGCTTGGAGCGGCCAAGGGTCTGTGATCAGGGCCCGACCCACACCCCCCAGGAGCGCCAGCTTCTGAGCCTCAGACCTGGGCCTTCAGGAACTTCCTGGCTGGGCGGTGCGTCCGGGCACACTCAGTCAGCACGCTGAGCACAGGAGCTACGCTCTCCTTCAGCCTGTGTGTCTGTAGAAAAGCCTGTCATCAGGCCTGTGGCCCTACCTGATTTGAGGCTGGCGCAGAGTTAAACCCCCACAATCCCCTGCCCCCAACAAGACACACCAGCTGGTCCTGGCGGCAGGGGTTTGGAGACCCCCCTCTGCAGTTAGTCACTGGAGGGCCAAGAGTGGGTGGTAGGTATCTGTGTCAGTTTTGAAAGGGGCAGGGATAGAGCCTAACTCAGAAGTACTCGTAAGTTTGTGACTTGGCTCAAATAACTGTTTGAAGTTTAACTGCTTCAATTATAAGCCAGGGATGGGAAGCAAACACAAAGCAATTAAAGCTTTAGCACGCCACTGGCACACACACTGAACTCAGATCTGACGGTGGGAAAGAGAAACCAGAACTGAATCGCTGCTTGGTGTACTTCATGGACAAGAGAGCAGCGAGTTCCCGTCTCTCCCAGCATAATGTGCCGGGACCCCAGTATCAGCAGTGGCAGCGACAGGGATGGACGACCCCAACTGTGTGCCCAATGCCAGGTCCCTATCCTAATTGGCTCACATGCACCATATGTGTCCTCTGCTTAGGCAGGCAGATTCCCAAGATGTCTACTGAATCTCAGTTTACTGCACTCCAGCCTGCTTTCTGCAAGATCCTGGAGAATGGTTAGAGCCCAGCTGTCCAAATGCCCCCTAGTGCAGTCACAGGAATCAGAGGGAACCTTTGATCAGAGGTTCCTGTGGGTCTCTTCAGGGTGCTGAGGGACAGCCATGCTTGTAATCAAGGGCTGCCTGTGTCTAAGAGTTAAAAGCAGGGACTGGGCGGCTTCTCAGGACCACTCAATAAAGATCCACAAATATTTAAGCAGAAGTGAAACCTTCAAGTGTGTGGAGAGCGTCCACATGCTTCTCATGGACGAAGGGTCTGGCTTCTTGCCAGGCTGGACCTCAGAACAGCCAAAAGAAGTGCCCATATCATATTACCAAGGTGATCTCCACTTACCAGTGTGGAAGCACTGACCGCAGCTGTGCAGGACAGCCAGTGCCAGAGCCACTAGGGGAAGCCTGCACAGCCATCCCCAGCCTACCTGGTGCAAACGTTTCTCTAGGAAGATGAGGAGGGCACGAATCACATCCATGTTCACTCCCATGAACTCCACGGAGTCTCCATGTGGCTCCAGGGTGAGGAGAACATCCAGACACTTGAGGGGCAAGTTCCCTAAGAGGTTCACTGCATGGCTGGGGACAGGAGGAGACGGGGGTCTCGATAGGGCTAATCCCTCGGCACAGGTGCAATCTTTGTGCCCCCGCTGAACCACACATTACATGAGCTGGCATCTGAGGGCCTAAAGCAGCAGAACTAGGGACCAAAGCCAAGGACAGAGACTGACTGATCGTAGAGGCACTGCCACTCAGCTGTACAGTGGGGTCCCCTGGGGAGGTGGGGGCACTCAGACACCCTAACTGCCCTACCCGGTCTGGGCCAAAGTGCCACCATCTCTGGAAACCCAGATCAGCCTAGGGGCAGGTGGCCCAAGAATGGGGACAAGACACCAAAATGCCCCAGTAAATACCATGCTGTCTGTTGCCACTACACAAGGTCCAGTTGGCACATTCCTGTCCCCGGATTCATGGCTCCTGTCCTGGCCACCTATTAGAAGCACTCAGTGTTCTCTGGAAACACACTGATGTCCAGTACCATTCACCCAGACAAAGTCAGACCCCCCAGTGTGGGGCCTGGGCTCTCAGGTGGTTCTGATCCACAGCCAGGGTTGAGGACCACCAGCTAGACAATGTGGCCACAGAAAAAGCCACGTCCTCACCCATGGAACTCCTCTGTGCGGTCTCCAGCAGTAGCAATCATCACACAGTGCCGCAGAAGGGTCCCCAGGTGCTGGTAAAGGGCAGCATCTTCCTGACCAAAGAAAGAAGGGTTCCTGTGAGGAGCCCCACTCATCCCACTGCTGCCTGCTGGGGTGCTACTGTCTGTTGCACTCCAGGAATATGTGGCACTGACTGTGCAGCTCCCATACTCCATGCCTGGCCCCCTGGGATCTCCTAAGTGACTGTGGTAGTGCTGGGGGCAAAAGATGACCACCCCTGTCTTCTTAAAAGCACCTCCCTGAGTAGGAACACATTCCCCGGGGATGAAGTCACACACTGTCTCAGCCCCACTCATGGCCTCATGGTGAAGGATCTCTTATAGTATCCTCTGACACCACACAGCCCTCCTGCCAGACAGCAAGAGCCAGAAGGGGCCTCTACTTCCTTCAGACCGTTTCCCTGAGGTCCCAGCCCAGAACCGGCATCTCCTTGGCTTTGTCCCAACAGGCTGAGGGATCCTATCCTCTCCATGTCTGACACTCAGAAACCTGAAGGTACCCAGTGCGAAGCAAGCAGGCCCAGGAAATGCTGGAGCTGCGCTGAAACCCATCCATGGGTTGCCGTCTGTGCTCACCTCGTCCACCTCCCCCTTGATGGAGTCGAGGGTGATGTTGAAGAGCACTTTGAGGATCTCCATGGCCCGTTCGGTCTCTTGGGAAGGAAGGAGCTCGGGTGGGTTCCCTTCAGGAGTCACCCCCAGCGTCAGCTCCAGCGTGTCAGTCAGCAGACTCACTCCTTTCAGTTCCTGAAACAGCTGCTGGCGCACATCGGTGCGGAGTGCCGTTAGCAGGAAGAGGAGCCGCAAGTCAAAGAACTGGACGTCGTGGGGGAAGGTCCGCACTCGGTACAGCCCCACACGCTCCGTGAGCCTCACCACCAGGCGGGCCTCCGCTGCCAGCGTCTGTGCCACAGGGCTGCTGAGCACGAGGTTGCACAGGCACTTGAGGGACTCCAGAACGACACCCATGTCTGCGGACTCGCGGACGGGCCCCTCGGAGACAGAGACGCCAGCGTGGCCGGCCAGCGCCTGCATGCTCCGGCGGCTGGTGAACGGGTCCAAGCAGTGGCGGTCCCGGGACAGGATTCGGACACTCTGCAGCCAGGTGACACGGTGGGAGGCCGGCAAGCCCTGTTCCAGGACGGAGACCAGCAGCTCCGCCAGCCTCTGTGGGCAGGGAGAAGAGCGGCTCCACCAGGCCCCTCTCCTGGGGCCGCCCGTCCCCGCCCCTTCGCCCCTCGCGCCAGCACCCACCTTCCGGTCCTCCCGTTGGGCGTCATCAAACGTGAAGCTCTGGGAGTGCTGCAGAGAGAAGCGGCGAGTTCAGGTCCAGAGCGGGGCAGGGTCTCCGCGCGCCCCGGCCCTACGCACCTGCCGCCCGGGGGCGCAGCCCCCGCTCCCCGCAGCACCGCACCCCGGCCCCGGGCCCGCCACCCGCCGCGAACCCCGCGCTCGCCGACACAAGCCGGCCTCGGGCGGCGGCTCACCTCCCGGTTGTACGACCGCAGAGCTTCCAGGATCAAATCCTCCTTCCCCGTCGCCACGGCTGCCGCGACCGCCCGGGGCTCCATGGCGCCCCCGGGACCCGCCTCGGCCCCTCCGAGCCGCGGATCGCCGGCCCCGCCCCGGCCCAGGGAGCTCCGCGCCGGCGCGCAGGGGAGGCCGGGACGCGGCGGCGGCTCAGGGGGCGGGGCCTGGAGCCGGCGCGGCCGTCGGAAGCTTCGGGACCCGGGTCGCCCTCGGCCGAACGGACCCCTCTCCTTGCGGCCCGCGCCCCTCGGGCCGGGACTTCCGAGGGGACAGGGCCTCAGCCCCCACCCCGCCCGGCCGCCCCGGGAGCGCCCCAGAACGGATGGGGCGGGGAGGCGGAGCCGAGGCGGGGGACTTCGCCGTCCCGGCCGTCGGGCCCGTCGGGCGTGCGCCGGGGCGCGCAGGCGGACGGGACTCCTAGGGCCATGCTGTCGCGGAGCTTCTGCTCCCGAGGGGAAGGCACGCGAGGGGACACCCCAGGACGCGGCCGGGAACGCGGCTCCTGCTCGGGGGGCCCGCGAACCCCTCCCCGCCGTCAGGAAGCGTCCACCCCACCCCGTGGTCTCGGCACTGAGCAAACGGCCCCGCCCCGTCCCGCGTTCACAGGAACCACGAACGTCACGTCCGCCGTGGCGCACGCCGGCGATCCCAGCGCCTGCGGAGGCCGAGGCGGGAGGGCTGCCTGAGCCCGGCAGCGGAGCATGCGGTGAGCCGCGATCGCGTCACTGCGCGCCAGCCTGGGACGGTGCGGAAGACAAAAGCCACATCCGCGCCCGCGCTCCCGCGACCGGCGGCTCCCGACCCGCGGCCCTCGGCCGGAAGTCACGGAGTTCAAGGCGGAAGGGGCGGGGCACCCAGGGGGCGTGGTCGGCGCGGGCGGGGCCGGAAGTCCGGCCCCTAGACTGCGCCACGTCCGAAGCGGCGGAGGCCCGGTCGGTGTCGGCGTTGAGGAGCCGGGGCAGGCACAATGGCGGACTGGGCTCGGGGTGAGCGCGAGAGAGCGGAGTCGTTGGGGCCGGGGCGGGGCCGGGCCGGAGCCGACGCTGTTGCCTGCAGAGCCGCGTGCGCCTGCCTCTGGCCCTGTCACGGGGGCGAATCGGATCCTTCCGGGTCCGAGGGGAGTGGGGTTTCGGCCGGCCCTGCTGCTAGGACGGGAGGCGGGCGGGGCGGCCCAGCTGCTCCAGCGAGGGGTCGCGCCGCTGCGGGGTCCCCCAACTCCCCGCCACTCCGTGTGAGATGGTTCTGCATGGGTTCGGGGTGCGGGAGCCTCGGCGTTCGGCAGGTCCCGGGTCCGGGCTCTAGGAGTGCAGGCCGGACGCTCTTGGTGTCCAAGCAGGCGTCTGCTGACTTGGGCCTCGATGGCCCCAGCCCCCCTCCCGGAGCCCGTGTTCTGGTCTGCAAAGTGGGATATGGATGTTTGCCCCTCTGAGTTGCTATGATGATTAAAGGAATTGAGCGTGAGTAGTTGGAAGGACGCTGGCACCCGCTCCTTCCATTGAAGCTAGGCAGGAGGCGGTTCTCAGCCACCTGATGGGACAGAAATTCCTTGTCACTTGGCCCAGCCTATCACAGGCCAGGCCTCTGCAAGCGCTGCGCTCTGGGTGTTGCGGGAAGCCCTCTGTGGGATGCAGACCAAGGATCCCACTCTTGGGGAATTGGGAGCTTGGCTCAGCCACTTTGTGTGCGGCAAAGAGCCTTCTCGATGTTCTGTCCTGGTTCCTTGCCACCTCTTCAGGAGCCAGCTCCAAAGTCGTCCCTGCGTGAGCCTTTCTGCTGCTCTGCTGGGTACTTTTCCCAAGTGTTTCCTACGCTCTTACACAGATGGCGACCTCCATGGATGCAAGTGTCACATCTTACCAGCATCCCAGGGCTGGGTCCAGTTTCTGCTGCGCAGTATCCGAAACTGCTGGTTGCACCGAGCCTGTCGTGGGTGCTTGCCCATCCCCACACAGGGCATGTGTTCACATGACAGGCGCTTACACGCGTCGTCCTTTGTGCAGCCTGCCTCACTTGTGCAAGATCTACCTGCTGGAGCCTGGGTTAGGGCTCTGTGTCTGCCACCTGCCCAGCAGACACAGGGCCCAGTCGCCCTGGATTTCCAACTCACCCAGATGTGCTTGGAGTGAGAGGGGTCAGGGGCCGTGCTCACAGGTGGATGCAACCCCTCAGCCTCTCTCTCTTCTCAGCTCAGAGTCCTGGTGCTGTGGAAGAGATACTAGACCGCGAGAACAAGCGAATGACCGACAGCCTGGCCTCCAAAGTCACCAGGCTCAAATCGGTCAGTGGTGGTCTCCTGTCCTCTTACCTCTACCGGGTGCCCTCGGGGAGTGGGGATCAGAGGAAAGGCAGACGGCCCAGAGGAGTTTCAGGCAGTTTTCCATCCTCCTGGTCCGATTTGTGGCCATGCTCACCTGCATGAGGCCCTACCTGGACCTCTCTGCTGCTGCTGCAACACTGTCTGGCAGAGTTGTTGACAGGGCTTGTCTGGTCTGGGGAGGGTGAGTGCTGCATTATGTGTCTGCCCTGGCCCAACCCTGCCCTCTCTGTGCTGAACAGCTTGCCTTGGACATCGATAGGGACGCAGAGGATCAGAACCGGTACCTGGATGGCATGGTAAGGGCCTGCCCCAGCACTGCCTGCTGCAGAACTTACAGTGTCTCCTTCGGCACTGGTGTGGGTGGGCGGTCAAATCACCACTTCTGTGTGATCTTGCTGGGATTCCGCCCTTAGGACTCGGATTTCACAAGCGTGACCGGCCTGCTTACGGGGAGTGTGAAGCGCTTTTCCACGATGGCAAGGTCTGGGCGAGACAACCGGAAGCTTCTGTGTGGCATGGCCATGGGTCTAATTGTGGCCTTCTTCATCCTCTCCTACTTCCTGTCGAGGGCAAGGACGTGAACCAGTGGGAGCTGGTGTCTGTGGGTGCCAAGGGCAGCCCAGGTCTTCCTGCCTGGCAGCTTGGTCTCCAGAGAACTTACTACAAAATACTCCTTTGAAATTACAACGGTGGGTTAGGAATCTTACTCCTGTGGGGCAGGAGGCTGTGGCAGCCTGTGACCTGATGAGCTCATGTTGGCTGATCCCATGTGTGGAAGGGACTCTTTCTTTTGGGGAAACCAAGGGCCAGCTCCTCCCCCATCCCTCAGGTGCTAGAGACACCAGCAGAGTTGGGGCCACAGCATGTCTAGAGGGGCCAGGTCCGAGCACAGCAGCTGTTGAATCCCAGACGTAGCCACCTGAAGCCTGCAGCCTTTCTCCCAGCTCTTGGGACTCTGACATCTTCAGGCTCCACGGCCGTGTCCTTGTCAGGGTGAGGCCATGTCTGTGAGCCCAGGTGCCTGGAGCTGACGCAGGAAGGGACTGTGAACCCTGAGTGAGTGCCGTCTCCTCCGACTGAAGCCTCTCGACCTGGAGATGATAGTTACTTCTGGCCACGGTTGCTAAGCACGGGCAGACCAGTGTGTGAGTTCTCTCTGCCTGCTCTCCAGTCCTGCGGATGAAGTGAGACCCCTGGGGAGAATGGGGGTGTGGATGGAGTGAACTGCAGCCTTGGCCTAGCCACTGGGCCTGGATCCTTCTGGGTCATGTGACTGTGTATCTAGGAGCAGAAACTTGCATTCTCAGGATTCAGGATCAACGCAGCACCAAAGATGTGTTTGCAGAACAGACCTAGAAGTGGGCCTGTTTAGCATTTCAGAGTCAGGCAAAGCATGCAGGGTGGGGGAGCACCTGTGGGTCTACGCAGGAAGGTTCCTGTGAGGCCTCCAGTTGCTGCCTAGCTTGCTGGTAACTTTTGCCCCTCTGCCAAGCCCTGCCAGGCTTCCTTGACTGTGACGGTGCTCTGTACCATCCTCCTTGTCTTGGCGTAAAAACACCTTTAAAGTGCGAGTCGTGTGCTTCTGTGCCCTTCTTGGTCCTGTTCCAATCTTGTGCCTCCCACTCAGTCCCTGGGGACTGTGGGCTCGCTGTCCCCTACCCGTGGCCGTTCCATGTGTCCCGTCCATCCCGAACTGCCTCGGAGCTCCAGGCTGACCAGAGACAAGCCCCCCTTGGGTCACCCTTGCCCTCCGTTCCTTCTCCCTTACACACAGCAAGCCCCCTTTCTCCACGCACGCTCACCATAGCCGCCTGCCTTGGGACCTGGCTGAGACTGCCAGCCTCCCGGAGGAGTGGAGTCCATCTTAGTCGCTCATGCAGTGCAAGCCCGCTTCTCACCCAGCAAGGTCCACTCCACTGCCTCCATTCTCTGGGGCTTTGCTCTTGCCCTGAAACCTGGCTGGGCTGCTGTTGCTCCCAGCTTGCTGCCCCCTCCTCAGATGTCCCTCTGTAGACCCCTGTCGTTCCTCAGGCACCAGTGTCCTTGCCTGCCATGGCCCGCCTTAGTCCTCTGCTCCTCAGGGGCGTGTCCCCTGGTCACCAGGCATGGGAGCAGCTGCCTGCATTGTCTCCCAACTCTTCATCCCCCATATTTTCCTGGGCCATTCGGGGCTGACCTCCATTTTTGGGGAATGTGACTGAGCTGTGGGAACCGAACGAGACCCCTGCTGCTCTTTCCGTAGTGGCGCCCGCTCATCTTGCTGATGCAAACTGGCAAGTTAGGCTGCGACTCGGGGTGGCCTTCGTTAGGGAGGTGCTTTGTTGTCTCAGACGCAGTCACTGTTCCCTTGTTCCCTCCCTGTCTCTCCATCTCCACAGCTGTTTGCAGCCCTCCCAGGTACTTTGGGGTCTGGGCTGGATTTCCTTTCTGGTTTGCTTTTCTGCCTCTCTTGCTGTGTTAAGAAAGATCCTGCAAAGGGAGAGTGGCAACCCTGTTGCTGCTGTGCCAGACCAGCGTTTCCTGAGGGGCCCAACGCTAACCCTCAGCCCCGGGCCCCTGACCCTGTAAAAGAGCGGGGTTTGCTGACTATGATCCCTGACACCAGTAAAACCAAAAGGGATCTTGGGGCCCATCGTGAGAGCCAGGGTTACCCACTCTGCCAAGGGAGGACAGAGTGCTAGGTTCTATCCCATAATTTCAAGACAAAACACGTAAACCATAAAAACTCGTAAATAGGATTTCATGACGAACGAACCCCGTGGTCTCTGTTGTCCTCATTTCCTTGGGATTTGAGGGAATTTTGTGTGGAGCTCACCATGGTCCACAGGCTGGCCATGGGCACTGCTGCCATCAACCCTCTCCCTTCCCATCAGGGTTGGCTTTGGGCAGGGCAGCCACAGACTCACCTACTTCCTGCTGTGTTACCCTTCCCTGCCCACGTTCCTGAAATGCAGATGGGGATCCTGAGGGCATCATCACACAGGGAGTAAGTGAGTAGGCCGGGCGCGGCGGCTCACACCTGTGATCCCAACACTTTGGGAGGCTGAGGCGGGTGGATCACAAGGTCAAGAGTTCGAGACCAGCCCGCCCAAAATGGTGAAACCCCATCCGTAATAAAAATACAGAAAGTAGCTGGTGTGACGGTGCTTGGCTGTAATTCCAGCTACTCAGGAGGCCTAGGCAGGAGAATCGCTTGAACGTGGGAGGTGGAGGTTGTAGTGAGCCGAGATGGTGCCACGGCACTCCAGCCTGGGCGACAGAGAGACTCCCTCTCAAAAAAAAAAAAAAAAAAAAACCCCAAGAAACGTGAGTAAACATGAAGTGCTTTGAATATGCAGGCTGGCATGATCACAGCTAAGTGAGAGTCAGCAGCTGTTTGTGCGTTTTTTTTTTTTTTGAGACGGAATTTTGCTCTTGTTACCCAGGCTGGAGTGCAATGGCGCGGTCTCGGCTCACCGCAACCTCCGCCTCCTGGGCTCAGGCAATTCTCCTGCCTCAGCCTCCTGAGTAGCTGGGATTACAGGCACGCGCCACCACGCCCAGCTAGTTTTTTGTATTTTTAGTAGAGACGGGGTTTCACCATGTTGACCAGGATGGTCTCGATCTCTCGACCTCGTGATCCACCCGCCTCGGCCTCCCAAAGTGCTGGGATTACAGGCTTGAGCCACCACGCCCGGCCTGTGTTGTGCTTTATACAGGTGCAGGTGATGGTGCCACAGCTGTGTCTGACAAGGCAGTCCATCCTGAAGTGACCTCCCCAAAAGGCCGAGTTGAGATCCAGACTCCACTTCTTGAGGCCTGGTGTTGGACTCCTGGGCAGCCTCTGGAAATCCCCCTCTTCAGGCGCAGCTCATACCCCACCTTCCCTGTCCATGTCCTCCTACTCCCTGTGGTACCCACTGATGTGTAACAGGCCACCCTAAAACTGCACTTAAAATTGCAACAGTTTGTCATGTCTCATTGAATTTGAGACTGAGCACTGCTTCAGGGTTGGCTGTTCTTGCTGTACAATGTGGAGGCCTCACTGTAAGATGTGGTCCCGGGGCCGCCTCCATCTGACGTCCTCACACGTCCAGAGGTCAGTGCTGGTGAGTGGAGGGCTGGCTGGGCTGACTGCCTGGGATGAGTTCAGTCTCCTCATGCTTAAGCTTGCTCACCAAGCTTATGGCTGGTGCTGGAGCAAACATGGACACAGTGGTAACGGGTGGGGGGTGGGGTGGGCACTGCTATCCAGGCAGAAGCTGTTTCCTTGGTACATTGTATGCCTGGCATCAGAAGCCAGGTGGCATCAGTTCTGCCATACCTCATTATTCAGGACAGTCACAGGCTGCAGTCCAGATTCAAGGGGAGGGACACGTCACAGGCTGCAGTCCAGATTCAAGGGGAGGGACACAGCATTGCTAAGAGACCAGCACAGCTCTGGCTGTCTTTGGGGTTCAAGCTAGGCAGCATAGGGAGGGACAGGTGTGGAGCAGAGTATCTGAGGCACTCAGGCCCTCCCATCTCACCAAGCTGACCCTGGGCCCTAGAAGCCAGGATGGGACCCTATGTGGGCAAGTGCTGACAGCCCACGGGGCTCCTTTCTGTAAAAGCTTGATCCTTCTACCAAGACAAACCCTTACTTAATGCAATCTGATTTATTAAATACTTTGGGCACAGCAGAAAACAAGACGGCAAATGGTAAAATAGAGTAGGAAAAAATAACTGGTTACAATCATCCAAACAAGCGTGCTCTGCCCTGCGGGGCCGGCCAGCGCAGCCCAGCGGGTGAAGACAGCCTCGAGCTCCGTGGCCCAGTGAATCTTGTGCAGATGTCGGGCGTGATGCGGCACAGTAGGGCCGGGCTATTCCACATCCACCACCAGGGGTGTCATGTAATCAGAGTGTTTGATGCCGAAGGTGACAATGGGGGCGCAGGGCTTGGTCAGGGTCACCTGGGAGAGGAGGGGCTGTGAGAGGAGCCAGCACCCCCACATGCAGTTTACCCTGGCTGGGGCTGGGCCGCTGTCCTTCCTGAGCCTGGGGCCAAGGTGGCCAGAAGCTACACTCCCAAATTTGAACACAGAGCACTCAGCAGTGGTAGCTGTCAGTGTCTAAGGAAAAGGGCAGGACCTCTGCTTCCCTGTCGAGGAAGGCTTACCTGTGGGTGGAGGTGCTTCCAGTTCCCACCCTAACCCTCCGCCCCTTCTTGGCTGTGTCCTTCACAGCCTGACCCTGTTTCCCCTCCTCTCTGTCCCAAACCCCCTCCCCTGCTCTTTCCTGCACATCCCTTTGGGCCAGGGCCCCCACGCCACCGTGACCCCTCTGGGCTGTGCTCTTCCTGGACCTTCTCAGGGCTGTGGGCGCCTGGTCCTGGCTTGAGGGTCTTGTCCCCTGGAGGCTCTACACGGGCAGCCATGGTGTACTGTGGAGCCTTGAATTTGGTCACCTGCATGTCAGTTTGGCGGTAGGCTGCAGGACCTGGGGTCTGAGAAGCAAAGGAGGCTCAGATAAGCTCTGCCCACCCAGGGCGTGCAGCCCTAGAGAGCAGAGCAAACTTGGACAGAGGGTTTCAGGCCTGAGTCAACAGAGCCAGCTACAAGTCGGTGCCTGTGCATCAGGGTCCCCCTCTGTGTTCTGTCACCCTGCTTGTGGGGCATCTCTCAGGTGGGGGCTGCTTCCTCGATTTCAGCCTCACGCTGGCTATGACATCCTCAGAGTGTACCAGTCCTGGAAACATCCCTGAGCATGTGTGAGAGGCCCGCTTGTAGCGGGTCGCTGTCCCATTGGACTTGGGGGCCTGGGGCTGGTGAAATCGACATGGACAAGGGCTGTTGGGTGCCCTGACACACTTTCCCCATCTCAGGCCCCTCAAGCTCTCAGGCACGTGCCCACCTGAGGCCGTTGCACCGGCTGTTTCTGAAACCAGGACCCTCCTCCCCAAAATAGGTCATGGTTTATTTTTTCCCCTCCTCTTCTTTCCATGCAATCCTAGCTAAGACTGCCTGTCACCCTCCAGACAGCACCATTCTCTGCTGGGGCCTGGACCTCCTCACCACTGCAGCGTCACCCCAGCACGTGGCAGGCACCCAGAGGGTAGGGGGCTGAGGGGCTTCGGCAAGGCAGGGCCGAGCTGGTGGGTCCTGGGTTGTGGGGGAGGTTGGGGGGCAGTTCTCTGTTCTCAGCCGGGGGGACCCTTGCCTTGTGTAGGTCATCGCTGAAGCCGCCCAGCTTGCTGCGGCCCTTGATGGAAAAGGAGGGCTGGGAGACCTTCCCGACGGTGTGGGGCCCCATCACCACGGGCAGCATGTACGCCGCGGGGCCTGCAGGGTGGACGTGTTCCTCAGGCCGGAACAGGGCCCACTGCCCCTTCCCTGGGGCTGTCCCCCAAGCCTGGAGATCAGCCGTCAGGCTGCCCCATCTCACCCTCCCCACCCAGGATCCCCAGATCCGTTTGGCTGAGGATTGTTGGGGCTGCTGCGGACCTGGGGTGCTGTCCACACGGAACGTCTTTGTCCGAGCAGAGATGGAGTGGCTGGGTGCTGAGTCGAACACGAACTTGGTGGATTTCTCTGGAAAGTAGTCACCTGGACAAGGAGCCAAGGGGGTGCTGGGACAACAAGCAGGTGGGTATGCAGCCCCGTCTGGGGGCTCAAGGAGGGCTCCCCAACATTCTAGGCATGGGGCCTCTGGGCTCCAACACAGGTAGTGACCAGGTCTGGCCAGTGTCCAGGACGGAAATGCTGACCTCGGGGCTGGGGAGACAAAGGCCATTTTTGAGCAGGGAGAGAGGGGTCTGACGTGGGCTTGCCAGAGAAAGGTCCAGGTTGGCGCTGGGCTCTAGGGTCAGAGTCTTCGCTGCCCAGGTGTGATGGCAACCCCTCCAGAGAGAAAGATGGGACAGGAGGGGCTGGACGGCTGAGCTCTCACACCCTTGTGGACGTGAGGTTAGGGGACTCAGCAGGGAGGGGCAGGAGCCTGAGCGGGGGGTCACTTACCTGGGCCAGGGGTCAGCATGGTTTTGGTGTGGTAGCGCCCCAGGATGGAGTAGGCAGGGCCAAGGTCCTTGCCAGTCCTCAGTATCTTGGGGTTTACATTGTAGCGGGGCCCCGGGGAGCAGTTCTCTGCCAGGAGCATGGGGGCCCCACGGAAGCTGTAGGCTGGTGCGCGTAGCTTGGTGGGCGTGTGCTTCATGAAGCCTGTGGACGAAGTGGGCCCTGAGCAGCCTGGAGCCTGGCATGCCCTTCTCCCCGCTGGGAGTCGGGGATTGAGCCCCAGGCCCTCCCTGGACCCCCACCCTCAGGCCTTCCCCAGGCCACCCACCCTCCTGCTTCCTGACCCTCCCCACGGGCTCTCAGGCTCTTACCTGTTGTTGGTGGAATCAGGTACTTGGGTCCAGGGCTGCTGTAGAGGGCCATGATGGGCCCCCGGGGGCGATGGGGCCTCCAGGTGCCCATCCATACCTCTTCCGTCATGGCCAGCTCTATCTACAAATGGGAGGGTTTCCAGGTGCTGGGAGGCCCGGCCCTGACGTCCCCGTCCCTGCTTCTGCTGACAGTGAAGATCAGAGCTGCTGAACCTGTACAGGGCTCTCAGTGGGGGCTCCAGCTGGGAGCCAGGAGTGAGGGAGGGTGGGAGCTTTCTGCATAGGACTGTGAACGTCTCATCAGCTTAACCCTAACCCAGAGTTGCTGTCCATGGTGGCCCTCAACTCACCACGCTTCTCTGCTGTAAGGAAGCCCTGGGCCAGTTTCTCCTACTTGGAATGGTGATCAAAGGTGGGGAACGTCTTGGTTGAGGCTGTGCTGAGGGGCAGGGAGGGGCTGTCTAGGAAGGGGCTGTAACTTCTCCGGTCCAGGCCCCCTACTGTCCCATCCTCCTCAGAGACCGTCCTGTCCCCTCTGGTTTTGGTGCCAGGGAGTTCCCGCAAAAGGAGCATGGAGAGGAAGGCCTCCCTCTCTCCTCAGGGGCTTACAGAACTGGGGAGAGGTCCCCACTCTAAACTCTAGAACGTGGCTCTGTGCTCTGTGGGATGACAGGTTCTAGATTACTGTCATTGTGACCCAGACAATGGCCTCAGCCTTAGGTCCCCTCACCAGAGCTCACCACCAGGCCCCCTCACCATGTCCCCTCGCCAGGTCCCCCCTCACCAGGTCCCCCCTCAACAGGCCCCCTTACCAGGTCCCCTGTCACCAGATCCCCCCCTCATTGGGTCCCCCCTCACCAGACCCTCCTCACCAGGTCTTCTCATCAGGTTCTTACCAGGTCCCCTCACCAGGTCTCCTCACCAGACCCCCCTCCTCAGGTTCCCTCACCAGGTACCCCTTACCAGTCCCCTCACCAGCTCCCCCATAACCAAGTCCTCCAGGGCACTCTTCCTGGGGCTCCCTCAGCCCGGGCCTCCCTGCCAGGCTCTGACAGGACAGAGGTATGGAGAGGAGGGCCGGGGCAGTGAAGTTTCAGGGCCCAGCACCGAGGATACCTGAGAATGTGGCAGCTCCACTCAGCTGTGCCCCTGGAAGAGACCAGAGATTTGGGCCACTGAGATGCTGGAAGGTTCTGGCTATGGCAGAGCCTGGGATCCAGGGTCAGGGTCTGTGCCGGTTGTGGTGGGTGTGAGTCAGTGTGGGCGCTGCTTCTGCCCTGGCTGACCTCAGAGGCTGCTCACCTGCGGCTCCCAGCCCCCTTGGACACAGGCGCACCTTCTTCTCAGCCTTGTCAGGGGCCCCTTTGGGGCGCAAGCTCCTCCCAGTGTCTTCCAGGCAGATTCTTTTCTTGGGCGACTTTGGGAGAGATTGTTCTGAAACCCGCCGGACCTGGGCCCCTGTGTGACTGCGTACGTTTGCCGTGCACAGCTATCGTCTTTCAGCACCAGCGTTCAGATGCTGAGCACCGCTGCCCTGACCTAGCCCATGGGCAACAGGGGGTCTGTGCCCACCCAGTTCTGGACATTTCCTGTGTCTGGGGCTCCCTGCCCCTCCCACCTCATACCGCCACCTCTGCCTCCTGTCTCCCACCGGACGCCCCGTGTCCACGTGGCGCTGTCTGGCTCTGTGCTCTGTCCGCCTGCCTGCTGGTGTCTGCCTGGATTTCCACTTTGGGTCTTGCCTGTGGTGTGCCTGCTCCTGTGTGGACCCTGTGTCTGTGCGTCCCTCTGTGTGGGGGACATGGGTGTGTCCCCCGCATGTCACATGTGTGCTCCTTGAGCAGGACCCGATGTATGTGGGTCTGTGTATGTGGCTCTGTTGGGGGAGAGACAGGAATCAGAGCCTGAGCTGCACGAGGCTTTATTGATTAAATGGTTTGCGGCGAATTTCCACGTGGGGAGGTGGTGGCGGGTGGCGTGTCCGTGGCTGCTTGTGTGGCAGGTCCTCTGGCTGAGCCTCCTCCGAGGTCCACTCAGGCACCGTCCGCATTGCCCAGCACTCGCACCTGGAAGGCAGACCGTGGGCTAGGAGAGCTGTCATCAGTGACTGGAGAGCCACAGAGCCATCAGGCAAGCAAGGCCCTCGGTGGGGGGTCTGGCATATTGCTGGCCGTCCCCTTCCAGTAGCCGGGGGTGTGTGTGCGTGCGTGATGGTGTGCACAGCTGTAGGTGTGAGCGTGCACGTGCGAATGTGTCTGCACGTGTGCATGTGGTGTGTGTGCCATGCCTGCACCTGTGTTTGCATCTCTGTGTGCACGTGTGTGCCTGCTGACTGGGGAGGAGCAGGTCTTTGGCGTCTGGGGGCTGCTCTGTGGACAGGAGGTCTGGGGCGTCCACGTCGGCTGGCTGATGTGGGTCCAGTGTCTGTGGGTGGTGGGGTGTGTGTGGGTGGTCGGCTGTGGGGCTGTTGTGTTGGGTGGTCTTGGTAAGGCTTCAGGTCTTTAGGGAATGGGGTGTCCCTGCAGCCCCCATACCAGCAGTTGGACCAGCTGTGCCTTGTGCACTGGCTGCAGGCCGTCTATGCAGGACTTGAGCTCGGTCAGGGCTGCCTTGGCATCCTCGTTGACATTGTACTTGCCCAGGGGCCCCTCATAGAGCTCCTCTGGGGTCCCCACCAGCAGTGTTTGCAGGAAGTCCATGAAAAACTCTGCGTTGTCCTCCCCCGTGGCCAGCCCTGCATCATAGGCGAGATGGTGCCAGGACAGGACAGGGTGACTGGTGTAACCCCAGCCCTGGACCTATCCCAGGGCTCCGACCTCCATGGTCTCCAGAGCTACCCCATCAATGCCCACCTCTCCTCCCCATATCTTCCTCCACAGCACCCTCAACTCCACCTTGCCCAAAGACCCCTCCACGTCCCTTAATCTTAGCTGCTCCAATTTCTACTCAGTGTTCCCTGGGATCACCAGGGAAGGAAAGTTAAGCCTCTGGTGTGGGGGAAATCTGATCCCTTGAAGGGTCAGGTCAGGCTGGACTGGGCTGGGGTTGGTGACATGGGGCTGGGGTTAGGTCAGCTGGGCTTTGTCTTTAGTTGGGGTGTAGTTGGGTCTGTAGGGTCCCAGTCTGTAGACTGGTTCTGTAGGGTCTTTGCCCACCTTTATGACAGATGCAGGTGGAGTGTTCACTGCACGGACTCGATGCCAGGATTTTACCTCCTCAGGCACCCCCAATCCCCCTGCCCCACTCCCAAATGTTCTGGAAGCCCCAGTGGCACAGACTCACCGCAGATGCAGAACAGGGTGAAGGCCACCAGCAGGAGGGCACTGCTCCCTTTCATGCTGGCAGTCTCAGGAGCTGCCTCCAGCCAGAATCCCGGGATTTTATGCCTCAGCGGGCAGCACCTCTCCTAGAGGGTGGGCCAGACCTGCCCATTTGGACCTGGCAGCCAGCTCAGATGAGGTTTGTCACATCCCTGGCCCCCAGTGGGTGCTAAGCAGCAACAGGCTCGGGGTGGCTGCGTGACAGGTGGTTGGCAAGTGGCTTTAGGGTGTGTGTGAGAGAGAACAGGTGTGGGAGGAGGGAACGCTGGTGAGGGAGGCCGTGCCAGCTGGTCGGTGAAGAGGGCAGCAGGGTCTGGCCACCAAGGGCCTCTAGTCGTGCCTGCCCTTGAGACCGAGGGTGGGGGGATCTGGGATTGGTCTCAGGCCTTTCTTCTGAGGTGGGAATCCCTCCTCTTCTCAGTGTGCTGTGTGATCTGGGTCTGCACCTGGGGGTCTCCAGTCAGTCAGCGGCCTCCTCACTGCTCAGAATGGGGCGGCCGACTCGGGGAAGGGACTGCAGATGCAGGATTGGACACAGCCGCAGGACGAGCTGGGGCTGAGGATCTGTGGGGTGGGAAGCAGCCTGGAAGAGAGAAGTAGCCTGAGAGGGCCCGAGGGACATGGAGCTGGCTGTGCCGGGGCCGGGTCTCAGCAGGAAGTGAGGAAGGGACAGGCTGGGGTGCGTCGTCTGTCAGCGGCCAGGCCAGCAAAGGTTGAAGGCCCTGGGGGAGAGGTCCCAGGACATAATACAGTGGACACAGGAGGTTGGGACACCCGGGGCCACCAAACGAAACCGCCCCAAGAGTAGCCGTTAGTAGGAGGGTGCCAGTCCAGCCCTCCCACTGAGCCGCATGGCCCAAATCAGAAGGGGCCCTGCTGCCACCTGGTGGCTGAGGGCGTCCCCAGGCTCCTGGGCCACACACATGCACAGGCTGTGAAGACCAATGTCCTTGTTCCCTGGAGGGCCCCCTATGGCACCAGAGATTTCCGCCTACTTCAGATAATCAGATAAAATTCCATCCTGGACAGAGCCAGTGGGGTGGAAACAGGGTTAGGGTTAGGGTTACGGTTAGAGGGTTACGGTTTGGGTTAGGGTTAAAGGGCAAGGTTAGAGTTAAAGGTTACAGATAAGGTTGGGGTTAGAGGTTAAGGGTTACAGTTAGGGTTAAGTGTTCGGTTTAGCATTAGGATTGGTGGTTAAGGGTTAGGGTTGGTGTTAGAGTTTAGGGTTAGGGGTTAGGAGTTGGGATTGGGGTTTAGGGTTACGGTTTAGGGTTAGGGTTTAGGATTAGGGTTTAGAGTTAGGGTTTAGTGTTTTGGGTTTGTGGTTAGGGTTTAGGGATTAGGGTTAGGATTAGGGGTTAGAGTTAGGTTTAGGCCTTAGGCATAGGGTTAGGTTTAGGGGTTGGGGTTTAGAGTTATGGTTAAGGGTTAGGGGTTAGGTGTAGGGTTAGTGTCAGGGGTTTTGCTTGGGTTAGGATTAGGGTTAGGGTTAAGGGTTAGGTGTAGGGTTAGTGTCAGGGGTTTTGCTTGGGTTAGGATTAGGGTTAGGGTTAAGGGTTAGGTATAGGGTTAGTGTCAGGAGTTTTGCTTGGGGTGGGGGTGAGGGTGACAGTAATAAGCAGATCAGTGAAAGCAATTCTGCTTCACATCAGTAACAACTTTCTCCAACTCATTTTTTCTCAACCAACTTAATTTTCCAGTAGTAGAGTCCAGGTTCTTGAAGAGCGTGGCCTCTTCCAATGGAAGAATCCCAGCCTTTTAAAGAACCCAGTGACTTTTCTCACCTTAAGTCTGTGAAATCCTCCTGGTTTCACAAGTTCCCGGGGGCGGCTCTCGTGTCTTCCCACCATGGCATTCCCAGCATTTTGCACATCACAGACAGAATCCACGTTGTGGAAGTGGTCAGTGGTGCAGGAGCACACAGGAAAGAGTAATCTAATGCCAAACATCAGTGGAAGCTGCACGGAGGTGGTGGCATTCAAGCAGGGCCTGAAAAATGAGCAGAGTTTCAAGTAAAGGGCTGCGAGCTGGGGAGAGGCTGAGGGAAGAGCATGAAGGAAGGTGGGCAGAGGAGCAGGTGACAGTGAGCAGAACAGAGCAGCTCCTTCTGGATCCCCCCTGCTGTTGCTTCTGCCAGCTGAGATGACGCCTGCTCAGCCACGCTTTGAGGTTAGAACTTAGATGACTTGTCTAGTGTCAGGAGCTACTAAGGAGGAGGAGGATGTGGGATTTGATCCAGACTGTGCTGTTAGCCATTCTACTGCCCTGTTAATATAAGACAAATCCAAACATGAGTAAGCTCCAAATTATACAGCACTGATTTGCAATGCCATGTGGGCCGATCAGCAAGAAACCAGTGCAGAATAAAACCTGTGCATTCAGCTACCCAATCCTCCTTCCTGGGCTGCTAATATAGAGGGGCGGGCAGTGGGGCACAAACACATGAGCACGGGAAGACCCGCAGGAACAAGGGTATTTCAAACCTTGAAGGATACAGTCCATCCACGAGAAATCGCTCCTTGAGTCTGTAAGCAGAACAGGCAAGATGGTCAGATGGCGGCGTATCCATCTCCCCGCTGTCCCAAACCTTTTTTCTTTTTTTTGACACACAGTTTCACTCTTGTTGCTCAGGCTGGAGTGCAGTGGCACAATCTTGACTCACCACAACCTCTGCCTCCCAGCTTCAAGCGATTCTCGTGCTTCAGTCTCCTGAGTAGCTGGGATTACAGGCACGCGCCACCACACAGGCTAATTTTTGTATTATTAGTAGAGATAGGGTTTCTCCATGTTGATCAGGCTGGTCTCGAACTCCTGACCTCAGGTGATCTGCCTGCCTCAGCCTCCCAAAGTGCTGTGATTACAGGCATGAGCCATTGTCCCAAACGTTATCACCTTGAGGCTGACAACCTGGAAGCCACCTATGGCTTCCCTTTTCCCTTTCACAACACAGCCGCACAGTTTCTGGGCCAAGTCTGGAACCTGGGAATAAGCACAACAACCCGTCATAACAAAACAGCTCATGTCAGTAGAGTGCACAGACTGCCCATGTGAAGCTCTCAAATCTGTTATTTCCATCTCAGCACAATGCTGTACAGTTACCCTTGTGTTTCGCACAGGGAAACACAGACCAGGAAGGCTGTTCCTTCTGTTCAAAAGCCATTTCCCGGCCGGGCACATGGCTCACACCTGTAACCCTAACCCTAACCCCAACCCCAACCCCAACCCTAACCCTTAACCCCTAACCCTAACCACTAACTCTAACCCTCTGATCCTAACCCTATGCTAACCCCTAACCCTAAACGTCTAACCCTAACTGCTACCCTAATGCTAACCGAGCCCTCACCCCTAACCCTCACCCTAAACCAACCCTAACCCTAACCCCAACCCCAACTGGCTCATTAAAAGAATATACCAATCTTTACAATGATTATAGCAAATCGTCAGTTCTACCTGGTTTTCTCCATCTCAGAGAGTCCCTCCAAGAAAGTGTCTTTACCACCTTTACCTATCCGTCACAGTTGCAGAATCACTTTTCTCTTCCCATTGCCACTCCCTGCCCTTGCAGTCTCTCAGCCCAGACACCACAAACAATGTCCCGAACTGCTCCACACCTTCTCACAGGGCTCAGAGGGAGCACTCAAATTCCCCAGTCCCGATGACCTGCCCCTGTCCCTGCAACACACACAACTGTGCAAGTAATTCCCCTTGTTCCCCATGAACATCTGGGCTCCAGCCAAGACTGCTCCTTCACCAGCCCTGAGAAGCCATGCTCCTCAGCCTCTGGAGGAATTTTTTTTTTGAAATAAAGTCTCACTCTGTTGCCTAGGCTTCTGCTGCCAGATCTGCCAGAACCTTGGGAGTTCATGTCTCTCGCTGGGGGGCTGGGGGTGGGGTTTCTAGCAGTCTGTCCCTTGGTCACTAAAACAGTCACTGCCTGTCCTCTTAACCACTTCGGAGGGTTCAAAACTAATTGCAACTATGAGTCTGTACAGAAATTGATCGAGGTGTTCTAGCTTGCCGCATTTACCTCACGCCTTACTTTGGAGACAAGAGACCTGTCAAGGGTCCCCTCTGTGGGCCAACCTACCCCAAATGCTGGCCAATCTACCTTACATAAAGTCCTTAATTTCTCTGGTAGTTACTCTATAATTTATACTAAATCCCTTCTTGAAAATTTTCAGCATGGTCTCTAATGGAGTGTGTTTGCTATGAGTGTGACCCATGCCTATGCACCAAAAAAAAAAAAAAAAAAAAAAATTTCCCACAGTTAAGAGAGTACTTCCTGCCCAGCGAGACGCAGTACACAGTCTCTGAGTTACATTCACTTCAATCCTTTTACAACGCCTAGATGGCAAAGGCTTCTCCACTCGGTCTTATGTGGCTGTCTCTAATTCCAGCCAGCTCTACAAATTGCTTGACGTATGAGGCCACTTCTAGTGGGCCTGATACTCCCACCTTACATGGCTGATGAGTCCAGTTGGACCCCTACACACACATACACACACACACACACACACATTGCTCTCCTCCCTCCACCCAAATCGAATCCATAAGCAAAAACTTCCAAGGTTAGTTACAAAAGGAGAGAGAGCCAAGTTCAAAGGTGTCAAGTCTGGCACCCATGGGTGTTCAGGCGTCTCTTCCACCTAAAGGAAGTGGGCAAGTTTCCCGGGACCAATCCTACCATGTTTCTGTTGTCTGGACACTCCAAGTACCCATTCCTTCTCGGTGTTCAGCCACTGGGTGGATCCGCACCGCGGGGGCTTTCCCGCTCTGCTCTGGTGAGGCTTTCCACCTGCAAATGCCTGCCCAGGTGCACTCTCAGGAAATGTGAGCCCCCCTCAGGGATGCTCCAAAAGGTGAGGCAAACCACCGAAAGGCTTTCTGTCCAACTGCCAACCGAAACTCACTTCCCGGTCAGGGAACCAAATGCAGCAGGAGTGGCCATGGGAAACAGACCTCTCGATCACCTAACTGGGAAGAAAGACGCTTATTATGGCCAGGAGCTGGGCAATGATTTGTCTAAATGTCCCAGCTCAGCTAACAAAGAGAAGCTCTGCCTTTATATAGGCT